GGAAATCTGGCAATGTCCGGAGGCATTTTTGGTTGTCACACTGGAGGTGGGTGGGTGCTATCTGCATCTACTGGGTAGATGTCAGGGATGCTGCTAAACATCCTGCAATGCACAAGACAGCCCTCCACAACAAAGAATAAGCAGTCCAAAATGTCAGTAGTACTGAGATTGAGAAACTTTGCCATTTAGGAAGGTATCCAAAGGCTTGGGAGATTGGAATGTTAAAGTGGATTTCTCCTGCTCACTCATCTCCTAAATATATCTATTTCTTTCCCCGAGGCTGTGAGAAATAACATTTGTGAAGGGAGCCCCTGATATCCTTAGAGAGTTTTGTGGTGACTACCGTCTGTAAGACAGAATTGACAGTGGGAATTACCAAGCTCTCTGAATTCAGTGGAGATGATGGGATCCTGAGTGGCAGGGGTCAAGTGTCATCATTTAGTTGACAAAGACAAGGAAAGTATGATTACTGTAATGGGCAGCAAAGACTAAACAGTAATCAGCATAGTCTAAGCCACAAAGGTCTTTGGCATTGGCTAATTGATTATGGTGTCCCTAGAGTTGAAAGTAGTGGGCAGCAGGTAAGCAGGAAAACTCTAGGTTGGGTGAGTGGAAGTTTCACTTGAATCATCACAGTAGACAGCCATGGCCCCCTGACCAATTCCCAGATTTGAGTCGCTTCACAGACCCAGAGTCCCTTGAATAAAGCAAAGATCACATCTCCTTAAGACCCTGTTGCACAGCCAAAAATGTAAATACTGTAAGTACTCCATTTCACCTTCCCTATTGAGATCTATGGCCGTTCACCAAGGTGCCTGTGCACAAGGAAGGGAAAATAATCGCCATTTGTAGGAGATTATTATTAAATATTGGTTCTGAATTGATACTAATACCTGGAGAATTAGAGTGGTCTAGCAGTCAAGCTAGGAGTTTATAGAGGTCAGGTGGTCAGTAGAGTTTTGCTTTGGGTCTATTCTCCTGGTGGGTCCCTGAGTTATTTCTCCAGTTCTGGAATGTGTAATTGGAATGGACAAACTCAGCAACTGTCAGAATCCTCACATCGGTTCCCTGACCTGTGGTGTAAGGGCTATTATGGTCAGGAAAGCTAACCGTAAGCCATTCTACTTGCCTCTATCTACCAAAGAGTAAAAACCAAAGCATTACTGCATTACCAGATGGATTGTAGAGAATAGTGCCATCATCAAGGACTTTAAAGATGTAGATTCCTACAAGATACCCATTCAACTTGCCTCTTTGGCCAGAAGACAGATGGAACTTGGAGAATGATAATGGATTTCTATTAAATAATCAGGTCATCACTCTGATTGGAGCTGCTGTCCAGGTATGCTTTCTTTGCTAGAGCATATCAGTACAAATGTATTTGCTATTTGGTTTGCAGCTCTTTTTTTTTTTTTTAAAGATTTATTTATTTATGATAGAGAGAGAGGCAGAGACACAGGAGGAGGGAGAAGCAGGCTCCATGCCGGGAGCCCGACGCGGGACTCGATCCCGGGACTCCAGGATCGTGCCCTAGGCCAAAGGCAGGCACTAAACCGCTGAGCCACCCAGGGATCCCTGGTTTGCAGCTCTTAATCTAGTTGATTGTTTTTTTCTGTATACCTTTTTTTTTTTAATTTTATTTACTTATTCATGAGAAACAGAGAGAGGCAGAGACATAGGCAGAGGGAGAAGCAGGCTCCATGCAGGGAGCTCGACATGGGACTCGATCCCAGGACTCCGTGATCACGACCTAAGCCAAAGGCAGATGCTCAACCACTGAGCCACCCGGAGCCCCATTGGTATACCTTTTAATAAAGACAGTCAGAGGGCAGCCCCGGTGGTGCAGCGGTTTAGTGCCGCCTGCAGCCACGGGTGTGATCCTGGAGACCCAGGATCGAGTCCCACATCGGGCTTTCTGCATGGAGCCTGCTTCTCCCTCTGCCTGTGTCTCTGCCTCTCTCTTTGCTCTCTCTGAATGAATAAATAATAATCTTAAAAAATAAAAATAAAAAATAAAATAAAGACAGTCGGAAGCAGTTTGCTTTCACATGGTTGGGCCAAGAGTATACTTTCATTATTCAGTCTCAGGGCTGCCTAAAGTCTCTAGTCGATGCCATAATCTAGTCTGCAAGGACCTTGATCATCTCTCCAATCCACAGGATATCACGTTAGTCCATTGCATCGATCTGACCTATTAAGTGGAAATTAGGTTTCTACTATACTGTACAAAAGTAGAGGAAGGAGGTAAGTGTCTGGAATGCATATCTCCTGGGGGCATTTTTTTAGTACTCCCATGTCCTGTGATTAAAGACACTGGAAAACTATACCCAATACGAGCAGGATGGCTAATGACTAGGCCATTTAGGAATGAAGGTATGGGTCACCATGCCAGGCAAATAACCATGAATAGCCAAGGTGCTTGCTGAAGGCAAACGGAGTATGAAATGGCTAGTGGAAGAACATGGTTATAACACCAGCCATGACCACCTGACCAGTTGTAGAAACAAAGTTTGGTGGCTATAAATATTCCTTCCTTATTTTGATTTGAATACATTTGTGTATACATTAACCATGTAACCATTGTGTAACCATTAACCATTAACCATGTAACCATTCTCCTATTTGCCACTTCCATTTATCTACCATCGAATGTAAGAACTGTTAATAATAGTTATCCTTATGTTTCAGGATTTAGCTTACAGGATATCTAAGGGGAATGTGACTCTGCTCAAAGACAAATCAGCACCACTCAAAGATAGATAAAGGGACTTTGTATCCTCTTTTGGGAGAGAATTAGCATGTTTTTGGTTATACATTGGATTGTTGATTTTGCCATTGTCTTTATTTCAAAGTTAAGTGTATTAAAAGAGGTGTGTATAGATGCCAAGGTGACAAGGGGTAGACAATGGTGAATTTGTATTGTGTCAAACTATATATTTTCCAGAATTCCTTTCCTTTTATTCCCTGAGTTATTACAGATGGGACATTTTGCATAAGATTTAGAAGGTAGAAGTGAAGCAGCAGCCAAATTCATTTGTGTTTGGAAGGCAGTATTGCAGCATATCTTTGCTTATCTGCTGGTCCACTTTGTTGGCATGTGGCAACAACTCGGAGTACAGCTACTGTGGCATCTGCTGAATTTCCTCCTTCACCTTTTCTGACTCCTTGGCCAGATTCATGTTTAGTTCCAAGATGAAGGGCATCATTTTTCCCCTCTGTCACTCCCACCCTCAAATTTAGAGGCTTAGAGATGGTGAGAAATCCACAAGGGTTCCAAACAGTCCATCCTGTGTGTTCCAGCTCACCCTTGCAGGTTCTGGATTTTTCTTGTTTCCCTCAGTTTACATATCCTTGTTCATTCTCAGTGCTTGCCCTGCTCACTTCAGGCCCCAAGTACTGATATATATGCAGTGGCCTCACAATTACATAATTCCACAATTATATAATGCCTATAATAAATCTCTTATGATTTATTACTACTAGTAGCTCTGCTTGATTGATTCACTTACCACCAAGCTACGTGGAGTTCCACTAATGTGCCATGCTTCTGGGCCTTTGTTTTTTCCTCTGTCTAGAATCCTGATCTCCTCTGCCTAGCTAATTCCTGCATCTGTTTGGCTCATATAGTTTACATCCTTAGAGAAGCTTCCCCTGGACTCTCAGCTCTAATTAAATGCCCCCCCCCCTTTGTTCTTGTGCTTCCATAGCAACCTGTGCTATCTCTGTCATAGTATCTATGACTTTATACTGTCTTTTGTTCTTGGTTGATCTCCCTAAGGAGACTAAACAATTTGAGGGTAGGGACTGAGTCTTATCTCTGTATCTCTAGACTGGTACAGTGCCTGGCACATAGCAAGTGCTCAATAGATGTTTGCTAAAATAGATGAAAATGAGCACTTTCAGTTTGTAGTGGAGTTCCTTGTATTTTCAACACCTGCATAGCACAGCTCATGGTTATAAGATAATTACCATGTAACTCCCTATAGGCAAGCCTCACATCTATCAGTCCATAATCCTAGACCTACTCTTAGGCCGACTCTACTTTGCACAGCATGACCTAAGAACACTGTGACTTGTTCTCATTATTGTAGACAACAAGGAAGTTAGATAATTTAGGTCCCGAAATGGACTTCTCGTTAGAACTATCTGATTTAGCCATTGATATAACCAGAATTAACCAGATAATTTTATACCTGCTCTTTGGATTCGACTGTGTTAAGTATTGCTTAATTTATAGACTAATTTAAAAAGGTTTGCCTATTACTCAGACTGGGAATAAAAGGAGAACAGTTGTTGAGACTTGTGGACTCTAAAAATGTATTCTTCCCAGTTAAGCTACACTAATAATTATATCTGCTGTTCAAGTAGGCTGGGAACTATGCTGCACTTAGGTGAGCAATAAAGGCTGGAATCTAGAACCAGTACTTTCGTTGGGTTATGTAGAGTACAAACTATTCACTGCTCCTTTCACTATACAAGATAACAGAACCCATAACCTAGGTCTCTACCTTTTCTTTTCTTTTTTTTTAATTTTTTTTATTTTTATTTATTTATGATAGTCACAGAGAGAGAGAGAGAGAGAGGCAGAGACACAGGCAGAGGGAGAAGCAGGCTCCATGCACCGGGAGCCCGACGTGGGAATCGATCCCGGATCTCCAGGACCGCGCCCTGGGCCAAAGGCAGGTGCCAAACCACTGCGCCACCCAGGGATCCCTACCTTTTCTAAATCAAATTTTCTACCTTTTAAAAATATTTTTAGGTATAATTGATCTACAACATTATATGAGTTTCAGGGCTCCAGTAATGATTCATTATTTGCATATATTGTAAGGATCACCACAGTAAATCAGTTAACAACTGTAACCATGCATAGTTCCAGAATTTTTTCTTGTGATGAGAACTTGATCTTGACCCAATACTCATTTTCTAATATGATTGAATAAAACAAATTAAAAATTCTCAAAGACAGCTGAACATAAGACACAAATTAAGTAGGTTACCTAGAGTCACAGCTCCTACAACAAATCCTTGGGCAGCAACTCTCATGTGAATAAGATGAATGGACATTTTCTGATCTTTTCTGTACTTTAACTTGTAAAGACCATAGGACACCACAGTCAGAAAGCCTGCTATTCCTGTGAATTAAAAAAGTAGAGGTTATGTAAATAGTAGACTGGAGTCCCCAAGATTTAGAGAGCTGAAAAGAAGACTGTACTTGGATCAGTACTTGGAACATAAGCAGGCAAAATACCAAAGAATACTTTAAGAAGAACCATGCTGAATTTGATCCACCAGGTTTTTAAATAGACCCTTAACACTTATGGATTCAATATTTGCAGTTTTGACTCTTCCCAGAAAATCCTGAATCATGTAGTAATTTCTAATGTTCCTGGGGCATGATTTCATATTGTGCATAGTGGAAGGTTTTTATTTGGGGGCAAGTCACTAAGCCAGTGAGCAAACCAACCAAACATCCCAGCACCCATTGCTTTCAAATGTTTGGTTTTACTCCTCTCTACTTGTTATCAAATCAGGAGTAAATCTAGTAAAGAGATAAAAATTTTGGGATCCCTGGGTGGCGCAGCGGTTTGGCGCCTGCCTTTGGCCCAGGGCGCGATCCTGGAGACCCGGGATCGAATCCCACATCGGGCTCCCGGTGCATGGAGCCTGCTTCTCCCTCTGCCTGTGTCTCTGCCTCTCTCTCTCTCTGTGTGACTATCATAAATAAATAAAAAATAAATAAAAAAAAGATAAAAATTTTGATCTATAAAAATGAGATTTAAATTTTAATGAGACGGAAAGGTGTGAATATTTGCACAAGAAGTGACTCCACAAAGAACTGTGACTCTAGAAAACTCAGGAATACAGGTATTTCTGTATTCCCTATGGAATAGTGAATATACTGCTGTGACAACCAAAATCCTACATAATTGGCCCTAAACATAGTAAACTGATCAACTGAATAGAAAAGATTCTAGAAAGAGATTTAAAACTCTGTGAGAAAAAAATAATAAAATAAAAAAATAAAACTCTGTGAGAACTTAATTTATGACAAATCAAATAACCAAATAACAAATAAAGGAATAGTGATTTAATATATACCATTGGTACAATTTTCTGGTATGGAGAACTTGGATTTGTATCTCACATCAGACCCTACAAAAAATTCTGAATTAAGTGTAAAAACAAAACAAAAATATAAATAAAAACTAGAAGAAAACAGAATAGCATATTCATAACATCTAAAAGGAGGTTAAAGTAGGGATGCCTAGGTGGCTCAGTGGCTGAGCAACTGCCTTGGGCCCAGGGCGTGATCATGGGGTCCCAGGATCAAGTCCCACATCAAGTCCTCCATCCCTGCATGGAGCTTGCTTCTCCCTCTGTCTGTGTCTCTGCTTCTCTCTGTGTGTATCTCTCATGAATTAATAAATAAAATATTTTTATAAATAAATAAATGAATGAATGAAGGTAAAGTTGACAAGAAAATGACAAAGACAAAATGCCATGTTTTGACATAAGAGTAAAGAAAATTGGGATTCCCTGGGTGGCTCAGCGGTTTAGAGCCTGCCTTTGGTCCAGGGTATGATCCTGGAGACCAGGGATCAAGTCCCACGTCAGGCTCCCTGCATGGAAACTGTTTCTACTTCTGCCTGTGTCTCTGCCTTTCTCTCTCTGTGTATGTGTGTCTCTCAGGAATAAATAAATAAAATCTTTAAAAAAAAAAAAAAAAGAGTAGAGAAAAATTTGCATAATAAAAGCATGGGTCTATTTTGGGGGTTCTCTCTTCTATCTTGTTGATCTGTTTATCCCTCCAGCAACACTACACTGTCTTTGTTACTATAGCCGTATGGTACACCTCAATATCAGGTACAGTGATTTCTCCTACTTTATCCTTTTTTTTTTAATTTTTTAAGATTGTTTTAGCCATTCTAGGACTTTTTTTTTTTATTTTAAGATTTATTTATTTATTCATGAGACACACAGAGAGAGAGGCAGAGACACAGGCAGAGGGAGAAACAGGCTCTTTGCAGGAGCCTGATGTGGGACTGGATTCCGGACCCTGGGATCACGACCTGAGCCCAAGGCCTGCTGAGCCACCCAGGTGTCCCCCTTCTAGGACTTCTGCCTTCAGATGTAAATTTTAGAATAAGAATAAGCTTGTCTTATCTATGAAAAACCTTGCTGGGATTTTGATAGGAATTACGTGAAACCTATAGATCAATTTGGGGAGAACTGACATATATTCTTTATATGTGTAATCTTCTTTACTGTATATTTAGTATATTTATACTACATGTAGTCTATATTTAGGTCCTTTCTGATTTCTTTCATTAACATTTTGTAATGAGCATACAGATTATATACATGTTAAGCATGTATCTAAGCATTTAATTTTCTTTGGAGTGATTGTGAATGGTGCTACGGTTTTTTGTTTTTGTTTTTTTTTAAAGATTTTATTTCTTTATTCATGAGAGACATAGGAAGAGAGGCAGAAACACAGGCAGAGGAAGGAGAAGCAGGCTCCATGCAGGGAGCCCGATGTGGGACTCCATCCCAGGAATCCGGGATCATGTCCTGAGCCAAAAGCAGACGCTCAACCGCTGAGCCACCCAGGTGTCCCAGCAGTTATGTTTTTAATTTAAGTTTCCATATGTTTGTTGTAATATATAGATATGCGATTGATATTTACGTAGGATAGCAACTTTTGATTAGTTATGTTGGCACATGTGTGTTTTTATGGGTGGGTGAGGATATATTTATTCCTTTTGAGTCCATTTAATAGATGGAAGTAAGAGAGTAATTGCATTTACATGTACATTTTATAGTCTGATTAGCACATGAAATAAAAATTAAAATGACATAGCAAAAAACAATAATAAAACAATGGTAGGCACATTGACAAACAGGTACGATGCTGAAAGCTCTGTAAGTTTAGCCAAATCTTAAGAACCCTGGAAATATACAATAAGTGGTATTAAACTGAATGTGCTTCCTGCCTTGGAATTCATATTCCAAGGAAATAAGTAAAAGAAACATTGAGGGGTTGACACAAAGATGTTTATGGCTACCGTAGGTATGAAGAAAAACTGAACAAGAACAACAAAAACTGAACAACAACAAACTGAAATGGCTGAAACAGAGGAAAAAATAGCTATCGAAAAAATTATGGAAGTACACAGAAATGTACATATGAAAATGTTAAGTGAAAGGAGCAAAAACAAGTCATCAACACAGAATTTCAATATGTATACAGTGTATGCACAGACCTTAACAGTGATCATATGACAGTTTTAAACAATATAAATAGATTATAATGATGGAAGTTGTTTAAGATAAATCAAAATGTTCTGTAAATTCTCTGCACAGGGCACTCTCGTATAGCAGGAAAGACAAAGTAGATATTACTAGAATAACAATATCTAAACTATTCAACAATATTTATTCAAATTTTATCGTTTATTTTTCTAGCAAAAACTTGATTCTTCCCCCTTATCAAATCAAGGCTCTGTTCTTAGTTAAATTGATTTTGTTTCCTTTGGAGATTAAAGTCAGAACCTCTACTGTTTTCCATATAGTGTCTCTGTGGTTTGTATGTAATTGAATTTGGCTAGAAACACTTTTATCTTTCTACTTTAATCACCCTAAATGTCTCTGGAAAAATAATTTAATTTATGATAGGCAGAGTGATTAATCTCTGTTTATGATAGTGATCTGTTCAAGTGGCACCAAGTTTTGAGTTGTTTTTCTAGTTAAAAATGCTAAGGAAGATGAATTAATCATCATAACATTATTTGCTTCTATTTCTTATGGATGCTATTATCAAATTTTAATCAAATAAAAGTAAAATAATCAGCATATTACTGTAAAGCAAAATTTTGATTCTTTTTAATATGCAAATAATGACACTTATGAAGTTGCTAGATTTGCAGGGACAGTGGAAACCTAACGACATACTATCCAGAAGGTTTTGTTTGTTTTTTTATAAATAAAAAAGATTTTATTTATTTATTCACAAGAGATACAGAGAGAGAGGCAGAGACATAGGCAGAGAGAGAAGCAGGCTCCATGCAGGGAGCCCAATGTGGGACTCGATCCCTTGACTTTGGGATCACACCCTGAGCCAAAAACAGATGCTCAACTGCTGAGCCACCCAGGCGTCCCTCTCCAGAAGGTTTTAAGGTATTAATCACTTATGTAAGTTTATTACATAATGTAAGTCTCATTTAAATAAGTTATTTTAGTAGTTTCCAGACCAAATGAACACCAGGAAAGAGTCAAGGCTGCAGTGTGTAATAATGCTTAGATCAGCTTTAGCATCCAAAAGAAGAAAGAGAAAGCTTAGATTTTATTTATTTATATAAAGATTTTATTTATTTATTATTTATTTATTCATGAGAGACACAGAGCAAGAGAGAGAGAGACAGAGACACAGGCAGAGAGAGAAGCAGGCTGAGAGCGTGACATGGGACTAGACCCCAGGTCTCCAGGATCACGCCCTGGGCTGAAGGTGGCGCTAAACCGCTGAGCCACCCGGGCTGCCAAAAGCTTAGATTTTAAAAATGATATTGATGCTTAGATTCTGTGTTTGTTTTTTTAACGTCCACATACATACAGTGTTTGTTCTAAATGTAAACATAGTAAGACTATCCTGGGAAAGGATAAAGAGGCTGACTCCAGGTCTAATTATAATAACATTTCTTTAATCTAGAGTTTGCTTAACCATCAACCTCAACATCTGGAACACATCAGGGAACCAGCAAAAAGGGCCATTGAACATGAACATCACAAAGTGCATGCTCTGAGATGTGCAGAGAGGTCGGTAGCCCTCGCTTTCATTCAGAGCTTCTTTGCTCTGAAGTGACTCACAATTCCTTTAAACTTTGTATCTAGCTTCTGGTGCCACAAAATACTAGGAGCAGAAGTTTTTTATTGTACTCAACCTCAGTGGAAGGGACAGAAAAATCTGTAAACATCAGACACAAGAACTTAAAGATTGGAGTTAGAGGACAGAGAGACATATCCATCGCGGTCACTAACCAACTTTCAAGATAATAAGCTGCTGCTGCTGCTGCTGATCTGGAGTCAACACAGAAGCGTTAAAGTTCATCCAATCTACTCCGGTTAGAGTAGTTCGGAATTAGTAATTTGAGTTAGACCTCTAATGGAGAGGGGTTAAATAAATAAGATTTGACACTTCATGATAATAATAATAGCTAACATTTACTGGGGATTCGCCGTATACTAGAAATTGTGCTGAAAGTTTCACTCACCTGGAGGGGGTTGGCTTCAATTACCTGAAAAAAATCGATGACCTAAAACAATTCGTTCCTCAAAGATACCGGGTAAGGCGTTGCTATTACCGACAGTTCTCCAGCGTCCAGTCAAGGCCTGCACTTACCCACGGGGACAAAGGGAGAGTCTCTAGATTTCCTGATCAGTCGGGAGAGTTGGCCTTCTTCCTCGTCTGCTGACCACTGGTTATCTGAAGACATTTTTCTCTCTAGTAACAGGAGGGGATAAACGTGGTTGCTGGAAATCATTAAAAATCCATTTACAAAAAATAAAATAAATAAAAATCCATTTCCTCTCCTAATATGTTGTTGATTATGTGTTCATCTGTCTTCAGTTTGCTTGATCTGCCTGTCTGCTCAGTTGAACAGTCATGTTTCCTTCACCCTTTTCATTATGGAATCCTTCCATTTTGTTTGGGGTAAGAGGTAAAAGTGAAGAGGAGAGGATAATCAGATTCCATGAATACAGAGTAAAGACAGATCCTAAGTGGGTTATTCAGTCTCCTTTCACTGCTCAGCATTTGAGATCATTGGGAACCTCAGAACTTCTTCCAAAAGCAAGAATACTTTTACAAAATATATTTTAAAGGATGATGGCAGTGCCAACATGGGCAAAATTACCTCCCAATTTACAGGTGATGGAAGAATGTTCACTGCAGTTTATATAAAGTCCTTCAGATATTTACCAAGCACCGATCACGTACAGGTGCTATGCTAGACAATGGGAAAAATCTTCCCTGTCTACACAGGAATGAGGAAACTCGCAAGAGCAGCTATAATCCCAAGCACCATGGTTTAGCAAGCACCTCAGCCCCGTTAGCTGTGCAACCCACCATTTTCACCTAAAAATTCAAGTATGAGGGCTTCATCCTATGAATGAGCTTTCAGCAGAAGATGGGACATGGTAAGTGGTGGAAGCACCATACCTTGGGCGGACCCCGCCACCTGCCGCCTGTCCCCTGGTGTTCCTGGAGCAGGAAGCTGTGGATCAGAAGAGGCTTTGTAAGGCCAGCACGCGTTTATGTGCAGTTTCCCACTGATCGCTGATGGGAAAGCCCAGGGACCCCCCCATCCCGGCGGGCGTGGCCAGCTGGTACTGGCCAAGGTTTCCACATCCCCTGCTTGGAAGCTCGGGGTAACGCACCTGGACCACGAACACTGGGTTTTCCAAGATACGAAGGAAACGTGAAGGCTTTGAAGAAGCTGCTTTTGTTGAATTCTGCCTTGGGGAGCTCCCAGCTTCCCTCTGCGGCTGCGAGCCCCACTCCCTGATCCGGGGCCCCGAGTCAGGAAGAAAGCGGGCCACGGTCCCAGCACTGGGCCGGGCGGCCGGGGCACCGTTAGCCACCGGAGGCCAAGGTGCTTGTCTGGAAAGCGTAGGCATGTGCTGGAGGGGCACCCGCCGGGCCGCCCGGGCACCTGGAGGCGAGCTGCGTGGCTCCGGCTCCCGGGGTGGACGCTGCTTGTTGGAGCTCCGGCCTGGGGGGCCCGCCGCCTGCGGCCACAGGACACCTAGGCCTTCCTGGCTTTGTCCTTACAGCTTCAATTTTTTAAGATCATTTCAAATGTACAGAGAAGTGCCCAGGATACCACAAAGAATTGCACGTCCGACACCCAGATTCCCTTCTGTTAAGAGTTTAGGCACATTTGCTTTATCTTCTTTTTTCCCCCTCAAGAAAAGCTTCTCCCTTTCTTCCTGAGAACCTACTGAGAACAAGTTGCATACTGATGTGCCCTAACCCCTAAAAACTTTTGCAAAAAAAAAAAAAAAAAACTTTTGCAGGCGTTTGGGGCATTCTTTTACGTAGCCATAGTACAAAGGTCAGAATCAGAATATTAGGGACGCCTGGGTGGCTCAGAGGTTGAGCGTCTGCCTTCGGTTCGGGGATGATTCCAGGGTGCCAGGATCGAGTCCTGCACTGGGCTCCCCGCAGGGAGCCTGCTGCTCCCTCGGCCTGTGTCTCGGCCTATCTCTCTCTCTTTCTCTCTCTGGGTCGCTCATGAATAAATAAATGTTTTATTTATTCGTTTATTTTATTTATTCATGAACGGCCCAGAGAGACAGGCAGAGACACAGGCCGAGGGAGCAGCAGGCTCCCCTGCAGGGAGCCCGATGCAGGACCCGATCCCGGGTCTCCAGGATCAGGGCCTGGGCTGAAGGTGGCGCCAAACCGCTGAGCCACCCGGGCTGCCCAATAAAATATTTTTTTAAAAAATCAGAATGTCAGTATTGCCATAATATTATAATCAAAAGATTTATTCATATTTCACCAGTCAAGGTCCCAATGATGATCTTAATGACAAATTTTTTTCCTAGTCTAAAATTCTTTAAAAATATGTATGTATTTTTAAAGCTGCTCTGCTGCACTGGTGAGGGCGATCTTTATTCAGGCTACCAATTCAAATGCTAATCTCTTAGGAAACAGCCTCACAAACACGCCCAGGGATAATGTTTTAGCAGCTATCTAGGCATCCCCGAGCTGAATCAAATTGACCTATAAAGTGAATCAGCACAATCTTCTTTTGTTTTTTTTTTTTTTAATATTTTATTTATTTATGCATGAGAGACATATATAGAGAGAGGCAGAGACACAGGCAGAGGGAGAAGCAGGCTCCATGCACCGGAAGCCCGACGTGGGACTCGATCCCGGGTCTCCAGGATCGCGCCCTGGGCCAAAGGCAGGCGCCAAACCGCTGCGCCACCCAGGGATCCCCACAATCTTCTTTTGTCTCATGATTCTGATATTTTGCTAATGCAGGCCAGTTATTTTTTAGGATGTCTCTCAATTTAGTTGTTTGATCCTTTCCCATCATCGGGTGAGGTTATACATTTTTGGCATAATACTGCAGAAGTGATGCTGTGTCCCTGGTGTGCAGTGTCAGAGGCACGGAAGTTAGCTTGTCTGGTGGTAGTAACTTCGATCCACTCTCATTTGGGTAAGTATCTAACAATGGATTATCCAAAGGAGAGAAAGCCCTGATAGTAATATTTGCCACTTTCCATGGTATAAATATTCCATAATGGCCAATTTCAAGCTACTGTTATGTCATCACTGAGCACAAAATTGGGAAGAGATGTGCCGCTCCTGAGTTGGTTGTGAGTGGACTCTGGTGTACTACAATTGCCTTCCAATTTCTCCACTGCAAAGTTACTATTTTTCTCCCTTTATACTGAATAAGTATTTTATGAGGAGATACTTTATTTTTTTTAATGTACATACATACACTTTTTATGTAATTCATACATAACATACATAATAATTTGCTTAAGAGTAATTTACTCTTTATTTTTTTAATTTTATTTTTATTTTATGATAGTCACAGAGAGAGAGAGAGAGAGGCAGAGACACAGGCAGAGGGAGAAGCAGGCTCTATGCACCGGGAGCCCGATGTGGGATTCGATCCCGGGTCTCCAGGATCGCGCCCTGGGCCAAAGGCAGGCGCCAAACCGCTGCGCCACCCAGGGATCCCGAGGAGATACTTTAATAGTAAACAAATATACTGTTATTTATCAGACTTTTACCTATTAATTTCAGCTTCCATTGATGATCTTTGCCTGAATCAATTAATATTATGTTTGCCAGGTGGTAATTTTCTAAATCCATCATTCTTTTTAGGTTTTTCAGTTGGCATTGTAATATAAGGAATTGCTTTGCTTTCCTATTTATTTTATTTTTTAAACTTTAAAAAAAGATTTATTTATTTATTTATTTATTTATTTATTTATTTATTTGAGAGAGAGAGAGAGAGAGAGAGAGAGAGAGCCCAAGAGTGTGTGAATGGGAGAGGCGGAGGAGCAGAGGGAGAGATAATCCCAAGCAGACTCCTCACTGAGCCTAACACGGGGCTTGATTCCCATGACACTGAGGTCATGACTTGAGCTGAAATCAAGAGTTGAATGCTCAACTGACTGATCCACCCAGGTGCCTCCCCTATGTATTTTATTTCTTTCCTATTTAATTATTCATTTATTTATATCAATTTGGACTCATGAATTTCTATTTTATTCAGTGGCTTATAATCCGTTACTATCATTATTTATTTTGATGGTCACATTGTCCCAGATTTGGCTAGTGGGAGCCCCTTCAAGTTGGCTTCTATGTCCTATTGATATGACCCCATCATTCTTCAAACATTCTTCTTTATATTCTGGCATAACAAGATGTTCCAGGCTAAACTTGTGCTTTTTCTACCCCAGCCCTGAAATCAGCCATTTCTTTGAGAAGCCTGGATTCATTTTTTTTTTATTTTATTTTTTAAAAGATTTTGTTTATTTATTCATGAGAGAGAGAGAGGCAGAGATACAGACAGAGGGAGAAGCAGGCTCCATGCAGGGAGCCCGATGCGGGACCTGATCCCAGGACCCCAGGATCACACCCAGGGCCAAAGGCAGGCGCTAAACTGCTGAGCCACCCAGGGATCCCTTTTTTTTTTTTTTTTTTTAATATTTTATCCGGATTCATTTTAGTAGAGAATAGTATTTAGAAACTAAGTTCTGGGCATTAGAGGTGTTCATTGTTACTGGAGTATCGTTACTTCTAGGCCCTCTCAGCAGACAGAACTAGGATTTATATCTATGTGTGTTTCTATTCCTATGTATCTGTCTACATTAAAATCATGAGTTGAGGGCAGCCTGGGGGGCTCAGTGGTTTAGCACTGCCTTCAGCCCAGAGCGTAATCCTGGAGACCCAGGATCGAGTCCCATGTTGGGCTTCCCTGCATGGAGCCTGCTTCTCCCTCCGCCTGTGTCTCTGCCTCTCTCTCTCTCTCTCTCTCTCTCTCTCTCTCTCTTTCTCTGTCTCTCATGAATAAATAAATAAAATATTTTTTAAAAAAATCATGAGTTGATAGTAACATCTCCAAGTTCAACCTAACGCCACAGGGTTTATTCTAGTCTCCTTTTCATATTTATGATTACTTTCTCTCCGAGATACCTGGTTCCTGCTCGCTTCAGGATATTTGCTTAATTCTAGAGTACCCAGAAGTTTATTTCAGAGTTTCTGACCTTTTCTGTGAAAATCAAGCCTATTACATATTTTTCATAATTCTTTGTTGTCAGAAGGAAAATAGTCAAAATATTGTCTTCAGAAATCAATTGGAGGGGCACCTGAGCGGCTCAGTTGGTTAAGAGTCTGCCTTCAGCTCAGATCAGGATCTCTGGGTTCTGGGATCCAGCCCCATATCGGGGTCTCTGCTCAGTA